GGGAGGGAAGCGTCACAGCTTTCCTCATTTTTAATACAACGAAACAGGAAGAATCTCCTCCTCCTCCTCCTCCTCCTCCTCCTCCTCCTCCCTGCTTCCCTCCTCCTTCACATCTCACCCCTTGAAGCCCGGAGGCGGTTCCCACTGCGACTGCCCCGTCCTTGTGTTGTGGTAGAAGGTCAGACCGCTGTCAGGGTCCAAGTGCGCCGTCCACTCGCTCCCCTCCTTGACCTGATCCTCAGGCTCAGCGCAGTCCTCGAACTCCTCCTTCTGGCTCTCCTCCTGCGGAAACTCCCACGTCGATCTCCCCGACGCAGCATGGTGATAAAAAGTCAGCCCGGACTCCTCGTCATGGTGAGCCGTCCACCCTGCAGGAAGTTTCTCCGCCTCCTTCTTCCCTGCCTGCTGCTGGGGCTTCGGCTGCTGCTGGGGCTGCTGGGGCTGCTGGGGCTGTGACAGCCGCTGGTCGTGGTGAGGCTTGGAAGGGAGGGGCCTTCTTGGCGGCTCCTCCCGGGCCTGGAGCGCGTGGGGGCCAGCGGAGGGCAAGGAGCCTCGTCCCGTGCTGGCGGTCTGGTTGGCTGCCTCCTCCTGCTCGCTCCTTCGCGGGGGCTTCTCCTTGTGCATGTGCTTGGCGGCCTCGATGAGGTCAGCGTTGATCTGGTTCCTCGCCTGCATCCTCCCTGCCATGTCCAGCGCGGAGATCCATCGATCCTTCTCCTCTGCCGTTGGGGCTGCGAGCACGAGCTTGTGCGCGCGCTTGGGGGCGTGGAAGAACTCCTGGTTGAGGAGGACGGGGCTCTTGAAGTCGATGCGGAACGCGTACTTGCCTGCTCTCGCGCTCTTGCACTCCCTCACCTCGAAGCCAGCAGGGATCGGGAACCTCGCGTCCGGCCCCGAGTGCCAGCACGACACGTTGCCATGCGCGTCTAAGTTCATCCGGACCCTCCGCCACTTACCCTTCCCCTCCTCGAAGTCGAGCCATCCGTCCTTGGGGTTGTACTGGTTAACGTCCTCCCAGCTCTTCTCCCCCCTCTTCGCGTGCTGCTGCTGCTGCTGTTGCTGCGCCTTCGGCTCTTCCTCCCCTCGAGGCTCGAACGATGCGTCCTGTGCCCTTAGGGCCTCGAAGGCTGCCTTCCAGCTCGACTCCGACCAGCCGCACGAGGCCGCAAACTTGTCGCTTGCAAGATCCCAAAGCTGGCCCACGGGCGCCTCGTGCCCCTCGACAGCGTGCAAGAGGCGGAGGGAGTTCACCACCCAGAAGCTTCCTCGCTTCCCTCCCGTCCCCGCATCGTCCCAGACGGGCTCAGGGCGCAGGTGAGCTTGCGAGCACCAGCTCTTGGGCACGCAGCGCATGCAGTCGAGGCGCGGGGGCTGGCTGGAGGTGGAGCAGACCATTCCCATGGCAACGAAGTCCTTGGTGGGAGGGACGGCCTTCCAGACGTACACCTTGACGCTGCCGGAGCACTTGGACCATGACATCTTGAACTTGACAGGGTGCGGGAGGAAGGAGTTGAGATGCTCCTCGTCCAGCCTCGGGCTCTTCGAGAGTGTCCCAACCTGCGCGTCTAGCAGCTCGAGGGTCATCGCCTTGAACTCTGCAGGAGGTCGGTTCATCCTCGGCCTCCCGATGCCGATGGCAGCGTAGTGTCCCAGTTGCACCTCAACTACGTTCCTCTTCAGGATCGACGGGTCCCACTTGGCATGCCAGATGCTCGTCTCCTTCCTCGCCCCCGAGTAGTCGCTGTTCCACACGTGCAGCCAGTGGTCCACCGCCTTCACCCTCACCTTAATCTGCTCCAGGTCTTTCCACGAAGGCGCCAGCCGCTGCCGCGTCTCCCGCACCTCCTGGTCAAGGTAGAGCTCGTCGATGGGCTTCGGCCTGATGTCAGAGAAGTTCATCGCCTTGCCCAGCTGGGTGGTGGCCTCGTCTGCCGACTCATCCTCCACCTCGAAGGCTGCGTTGAAGTCCGCGAACCTGATCCTCCCATCGCCGCTCTTGTCCACGAAGCGGACGATGGCGTAGATGTCGTCGGGCGTCAGGCGCATGCCCAGCCACTCCAAGCCTCCCCACAGCTCCGAGCAGCTGCAGGCAGGAGAGTCAGAGAGAGTGAGGGGAGCGAAAGGAGTCGAGGGAGTAGATGGTGAGCAGGAGAGTACAAGAAGAGAGTCAAACATCGCACGAAAGTAGGACAAAGACAAAACCAGGAAGTTGAGGAGGAGGAGGAGGAGGAGGAGGAGGAGGAGGAGGCAGGGGGATGAGCAGCAGGAGACCTGAGGAGTCCATCGCGATCGTAGTCGAAGCCTCTGAAGACATCGAAGACCTTGAGGCCGTTCCTTCGGATCGAGCTCCTGACTGCCGTGATGATGGATAGGAACTCCAGGTGGTGATACTCGTCAGGGGTGAGGAGCAAGCGCGATACCGGGCACTCCCTCCAGTCCTTGAGTGCTCGCCTCCTGCACATGCGAACCTCGTTGAAGAACGTCTGCCTCTCCTCCCGCGAGTTGTTCTGAATCGCCCGGATGGAGGTCCCTACGATCTTGTCCTCGAAGTAGAGCTGCGAGTCGAGGAAGCGGTAGGAGGTGACAGCGGTGAGGTGCTGGAGGGGAGGAGACGGCACGAAGCCCTTGCTGGTGTCCAGCAGGATGCCGCTCATCCCCTTGGTGATCATCCTGAGCCCGACAGAGCACAAGGCTCCTTCCTCCACCAGCCGACTCCCCTGCCGCTGATGGATGATCCCTCTAAGATGCTCCGCCTCGTCCAGTGCGATCGCCACGTAGAACCTCGGGCGGTGGACGGTGTTGAAGGCCTGGCTGACCATCATCCTGTCAACGTCCGCGAACGAGGCGCGGAAGTCGCCGGGGGGGCTAGCGCGACTCTCGGAGACCCTGTGGACGAGCTTGCTGAAGCTATCGTCGGTGAGCGTCGGGTCGACGAGCTCGGCGAAGAGGCGGAACTCGTTAAGGGAGAGGTATCCCTTCCTGTCCACGTCGAAGAGGTCGAACGTCCGCTGCAGCCTCATCCTCCTATCGGGAGAGTCGAACATGATCCCTACCTCCGACGCCGCCACCTCCTTCACCTCCGACACGTCCGGGATCCACTCGAGGATCACCGTGATGTTCTTCAGCCTCCTGTGCGCGCTCATGCACCAGACCCGGTGGAAGTGATTCTCCGACATGAGCAGGTACGGGTGGAACTGGATCGGCTTGCCGCCCTCCTTGAATCCCAAGTCCTTGTACACATAAAAGTCCGAGCAGGGATAGAAGGCTTTCTTCATCCCTTCGCTCCCCTGCGCCAGGCTCTTGACCGGCCATGGCGTGTGGGTCTGCCTCTTCGTTGAGAACGGAAGCTTTCCGGTCCCTGCTTGCTCCAGCTCCATCGTCTCCTCCTCCATCTCCTTCTCTTGCTCTTGCTCTTGCTCCTGTTCTTGCTCCTGCTCCTGCTCCTGCTCCTGCTCCTGCTCCTGCTCTGCTGACAGCGTCCGCTCTTCGATGAACTCACTCTCAGGTAACTGCGCAGGCCGTTCTTCACTCTTCTCGTCCGTCCACGTGGCGATCTTTTTGATATGATTGACCTGCTCCCGCTCCTCATCTCGTTCCAGCAGGTCGTTGTTCTGACGATGCATGTCCGCTAGCCTCTCCGAGAAAGTTCTCTCACGCGGGATTTCACTCTCAATCTTATGAAAGATGAGTCAGCCGCACAGGAGGAGAGAGGAGGAGGAGGAGGAGGAGGAGGAGTAAAGGAGTGAGGAGTGAGGAGTGAGGAGTGAGGGAGAAGAAGGAGGAAGGAGGAGGACGAGCCCAGTGGAGGGAATGAGAGGACGAGAGGAGGGAGGATGCGGTGTGGGACACAAAGGGGTAGGTGGCAAGAAGACAAGAGGGGGGAGGGGTGGGGTGGGTTTCAGACCTGGAAGTCGAGCCTCTCGAGGAAGGCATCGATACAGCGAACGAGCTTCTTGTCAGAGTCTGTAGTTCCCACGTCGTTGCACCGCCACACCAGGAAGTTGAAGGCGTTCTTCCTCCACACGTTGCGCATGTTCTGCTCGCACAGCATGTTGAACTGGACCTTCTCCGACCTCATGGAGTTCACGACGAGCCATGCGGAGACTCGCTCGAGCAAGTTCAGCTTCTCCTCCTGCGACTTCTGCGACTTGACGGCCTTGAGATTGTCGTCGATCAGCTGCTGCACTTCGGGGATGACGAAAAGTTGGATCGTCTGCCCCATCCCGATCCCTCGCATCCTGTACGCCCCCTGCGCGTAGTCGCGGAAGGTCATGTCCTTGCCGAGGGTGAGGACGGCCTTGGCGTTGAGGCAGTGCTGTATGTCCATCCCTGTGGTGTGAACCTGATCGTAGAAGGCGAACCTTCTTGCCTTGTGGATGTCGCACTGGTTCAGGGGCACTACCTTGTGCCCGTCCCTCAGCAGGATCATCTTCCTATCCAGCTCATCGAGGAACACCACTCCCTCTGCCCAGCTGAGTCCGGCCTCGATCAGATAGCTCGCCACCTCCAGGTTCGTCATGCCTGTGATCAGGGCGCCGGTGTCGATGAGCGCGTGATACTGCGGGTCCGAGCTGCTGGCGATGAGGTCGAGGAGGCTCTTGACGCTCCAAGGGGACTCGATCATCTTGGAGCTGACGACTTTGGGGTCTGTCAGCACGTGCTGCAGCTTCCCGTCTGTCCCCCGGTCGTACCGACACTTGCCGAGCTCCAGAGGAAGGAGCTCCGATGGCGTCCCTGAGAATCCCAGGCGCCGTTTGAAGAGCATGTCGCCTCCCAGCTCCTGCCCGGACGCCGACAGCTTCATGGCCTGATGCTTGAGCACGTCGGGGAATATGGTGTTGTGCAGGTAGTTGTGGATGAGCTGGGGGAGGCGGTGGAGGAGCTTGAAGAGAGGCTCGAACTGCTCAGGGTCGTCGAAGTCTATAAGGCGCAAAGGCCAAACTTCCACAGGGTCGCTCCTCAGCTTCCTCACCCCGGGGACTTGGAGCATCTTCTGGTGCTCCTCTCGTGCGATCCCCCGGACGACCCCCCCGGCCAGGTAGACCCACTCCACGAATTGCCTCGAGCTCGGCCTCTTGGCGAATGGCCCTTCCTCGTCGAACATGGACTGCTGCAGGTCTTTCAGCAGGCCCTTCAGCTCGTAGTGTCGGAGCCCCTCGTAGCGGAAGGCTAGGATGGTGAGCGAGATAACGATGTCGGGGTGCGCGAACTCCGAGCGCTCGCTGGGCACATCCTTGCCAACGAAGGGGACGGCGGTGATGGAGCGAGACTTGGGGACAAGGTACTCGGCGGACTTCTCTCTCTCGATCTGCTCGAGCGAGAGCAGCCCGTAGGAGACTCGGTCGATCTTGGCGAGGACGAACGGGATAACGGAGTGAATGAGCTCGTGGCAGAGGTTGAGCATCTTGAACACCTCGTCGTCCACCTTTTCCACGTTGATCCCGATCTTGGAGAATCGCTCGCTGCCCTCGCTGCTCGACTTCTCGACCGAAAGGTAGGAGATGATATGCGCATCGTCCACCCCCGACTTCCTCTGCATCGAAAACCAGAACACGGCCCACCTGATGAGAATCGGGCGGATCTTTTCGTTGTAGAACCTTCTGCTCAGCAGCACAAGGTGCGGAGTCCGCTGCAAGACCCTCAGGCTCGTCCCTTCCTCGATGACGACTTGGATCTCGCGCAAGACCTTCTCCGCCTCAGCGCTGCCATGCAGGGGCACGCTCATGGAGCCGGAGGTGGCGTAGAAGAGGGCGTCGAGGAGGTGGTACGGGATCTCCCACCGGAACCCCTTGCCCGTGTTGGTCTCGGTGAGATCCAGCGGCTCCTTCTTCCCGATGGGGAAGTTCAGCTCCGACTTGAGGGGATGAAGGACGAGGTCGACCTCGTCCATGAGCAGGGCTCCGGAGAAGAACAGCTCGAGGATCCGCACGCACAGCTTGGCCTGCGACCTCAAGTTCCCGACGTCGAGGTTCTGGCTCGAGGAGGCCGAGGGCGAGTGGTCGAGCATGTGGAGGATCTCGATGTACTTGAGGAAGAAAGCCTTGATGTCCACCGGAGTCGTGACCACCACTGCCTTGCTGTTCCTCGCCTTCACCAGCTTCCTGTACGTGTCCATCGTGACGTTGCGGAAGCGGTCGAACTTGAAGGTGTAGACGGGTTTCCGGATGAGCGCCGAGAACCTTTCTCTCATGATGTACCGCGAAAACTCCAGCAGGGCCCTGGGGACCACCTGGACAACCAGCCGCTTCCCATCTGCGAGCATGAGAGCCAGCAGCGGGCAGACGACCGTCGTCTTCCCTGCCCCCATGATCAGCTGCTGGCACGTCGACCCTCGCTTCGGGTCAGAGACGGCAGACATGAACTCCTGCACAAGGTCGACTTGCTGGTCCCTCAGCATGACGTTATGGATATACTCGAAGACCAGGAAGCGAGGGTCGAAACTCATCTCCTCTTCTCTGTGCTGCTTCATGTACGTCCTCCTGATAGTCAGGGACTTCGCCACGAGGTTCGACTTGAGGATGAGCTCCTGCAGGATCGTCGGGTCCTCCCGCGCCTGCACTGCCGAAGTCTTCTGGAGGGCCTTCAAGCAGTCCAGCAGCTCCTTGGCGTCAGTCAGGCAGCGGCGCACGTGGCCGATCCGAACGACGTGCAAGATGTGGTGAATGGTGAGGCTGACAACAAGTTCGGCCGACTCCCTGTCGAGGAAAGGGTTCCACGTCAGCAGCTCCTTGATCGCGTCTGTGCAGATCAGAAGGGTGACGAGGTGGTCGAGCTCGACGTAGGGCTCCTGCTTGCCCAGCCTCGCCATCTCATGGCGGAGGCCCGCCCAGGCATCATCCGAGGAGCCGGAGGCCTTCGACTGCGGCACCTGGTTGGCGAGGGAGAGGAGAATCTTGTGTGAGGTCTCGACCTTGACCTTGTCCTGAGCCTGCACTGACTGTAGGGACTTGATGAGCGATTGGATGCCCGAGATGACTTGTTCGAGCTCCTTGCACGTGGGGTCGTTGACATACTTCTTGATCTCATCGTCGTACAGCATCTTCATCTTCATAGTGATCCCCTTGTTCGCCTGTCAACCCACAGTCACTCGCAAATACAGTCTGCAAGGAGGAAAGACCTGCTCGGCATAACACTTGGCGTCGTCTTCCAGCCTGTGCAACATCGAGATCGCAATGTGCGACCTCGCGGCCTCGTGCTTGTTGAGGTTGAAAGAAAGCTTGTCCGACACCGGGGGCATCCCCTGCTCTTGGCGCGTCTGTGCTGACAGCAACTTGTCCAGTCCCAGGGCGAAGAGAGGGTTTCCACCGAAGACCTTGACGTCTTCGGGGGTCAGCCCAACCTCAGCGTTGCCAACTTTGATCTTCTTGGTTGGTTTCAACGTCCTCGAGTCGCAAGCATAGTCGGACACTCTTGTTGTGATGAGCTTGCGGGGGAGGGTGGAGAAGACTGGGATCTCCGTGGTGGACGGCAGGAGGATCTTGTCAAAGAAGGGGAAGCACCAGTCAATCTTATCCCGCTTCTTCTGAAGATAGGGCTGAACTTCCTTGCAGATGCGAGAGAACGGGTTGTCCATTCCCTTGAACATCATCTTGAAGACGCTGTTCGCCTGCTCCGGCGCAATCTTGGGGCATTCTCCAGCATTCATCCCGATGCACAGGCTGGAGTTGCGCATGAAAGCGCGAAGGACGGACATGAGGAGTGAATGCTGCCTCCACTCTTTGTCTGGGAGCATGCGGATCATGAGCGAAGCCATGTTGAACGTCTGGTCCTGCCCGAGGATCTTCACGTTGCACGTCCCCGTCATCATCTCGTAGAAGAAGAGGAAGCCGAGGTCGTCCTTCCCTCCCTTGAGCTTCATCCCATTGCTCAGCCACTTGTTCAGGCAAGCCACTGCTGCCGTCCCGATGGCGTCCGGCGGCCTCTTGTAACTGACGTTCTCAAACTTGGACAGGAAGCCGTCCTGGTCTGAGTTGAGGCAGGACTTGTCGGACACGCTGTCAAACTCCTCCTGCAGAGACGGGCGGGTGGGATAGTGCAAGAGCAGCGAGGTCGAGCAGTCGGTAAGGGCTCGCAGGAACTGCTGCCTGTTGCCCAACTTGTAGTTGAGGGAGACGGTGACGTGATTCTGCAGGAGGTAGAGCTCCTCCTCCACCGATAGGCGGCAGGCGGCGGACACGTGCTCCAACTTGGAGAGGTAGTGAAGCATCTCCGAGTTGATGTCCCAGGGGGGGGTGATGTCCGAGTTGGAAGTCACCAGCGAGATCTTGAGGCGGCAGGCATGAGCGTCGGGGAACACGTCGTCCTCCAAGAAGCGAAGCTGCGACAGCAGAAGCTCCTCCTCGTGCGACAGCTTGGTGTCCGAGACACAGCAGTCAGCAAGCTTGAAGACATCCGTGTGCTGGAGGTTGAGGAAGCGCAGGAGGAGGAGGTTCAACGCTGACGCGAAGGTCTGTGTGAAGAGGAACATGGAGGAGATGTGGACGGGGTAGATGTACTGCCTAACGCTCATGCAGCTCAAGCGCAGGTTGTCGTCCCTGTGGTTAAAGATGAGTTCTGTTGAGATCAGCTTCCCGTTCTGGTAGTTTCGTCTGAATGGCAAGCTGGCAGGAGTTATGATCGACACCTCTCCTTCCATGCTCTCCAACACGAGGCCGTGCGGGATTCCCCTTACAATCTTGTTGAGATGAACGTTGCGATTATGGCTTATGAAGAGCCCAGCATGGCTGCTGCTGAAGAGACGAGTCACCCCATCTGGACACACCTTAGAGAAGAAGGAGAGTTGTAGCCTTGGCAGCTCGATCAGGTCGATCGTACAGCCGTTGCTCTCACTTCCTGGTGGGATCTTCGACTTGGTCCAGACGAGACAGTGAGAAAGGTTATCCATCTTCGACAGCATCTGTGCAAGTCGGTACATGACACTTCCCTCTGGGGAGTTGCACAAGTTCAGCAGGGTGTATCCCTCGTTGTCGGAGTACTCGAGCGACTTCTCTTCATTCCATTGCTGCTCGGCAACGATCAACGGGTATTGCGACGACCTCACGAAATGCTTTAGCGGAAATCTCTCCACGTGAGCCGCGGCATTGTCGCTCCGGCTCGAGTTCCGCACGAGCTTGATCTTGAGCACGTAGGAGCTCTGCATCTTCTGAGAGATCTCTGGCTTGTAGTAGCCCGTCAACGAGTCATCTTCGTTCTGCCAGAAAGTGTACTCGTCGATGATGGCGTCCGGCAGCAGACCCTTCAGCAGCAGCGTGGGGACGAAAGTCTGCAAGTCCTTGGGTGAAGTCCCCAGGTTCCTGGTGATGACGAGCGACTCGTGGGCCAGGACAGGCCGACTGATGGCCGGCCTGCCATCGCTGTTGCTCTCTGCTGAGGAGAACTTGCTGTAAACCCCTCCTGTCTCCAGCGGGTGGAGGGGGGGCATCTCGTGCATCGAGAAGTGCCAGTCCGAGGAGAAGACCAGCTGGCGATGGAAGCGACGGCCGTGCTCGACCACGTTGTAGATGTGCACCACCCTCTGTGCACGGAAGATGACGATCTCGACGAGCGAAGTCTTAGGGGCCAGCGTGTCGATCCATTCCTCCTTCTCGGACCGATGGGAGGCCCGGAGGTGGAGGGTCCTGCCGGAGTTGGTGAGGATGTAGAATTCGTTGGGCGCGTCGGAGACCTCCCCGACCTCTCTGATGTCTGTCAACTTCACCGCAAGCTTCGGGTTCTTGCCCGAGTTGTAGTCCTTCTGACTCTCGTAGTAGGACACCTGACTCCCACTGAGGACGAACCAACGGCTGTTCCACTTGTTCAGCAGAGTCCCACCAAGCTTCTTTAGCTCTCCCTCCCTCAACACGGTCGACTTGTCCTCTGTGATGACCTGGAAGCCGCACAGGCGCGCGAACGGGGACTTGGAATCGTACGAGTCTTCCAGGTAGATCTGCTGGACTCCAGGGAGCAAGTCGTTGTCACGGCGGCACTGGTCCCAGATCTCAGAGATCCAAGACTCCGAGTGATGGAGGGTCTCGGGATACTTGCGCTTGAAGCGGATCTTTGGTGCTCTCTCGTCAGGTTTCCATAGAATCAGGTCGTGGCGTCGGCCTATCAGCCTGTACCATAGCCTCCTCGTCGTCAGCTTGATCGCCGCACACTGCGCCATCTGACCCTCGCTGCCGAACATCTGCTCAAACTCGGGGAAGCAGGATATCCTCTCGTCCACTCCCTCCAGCCTGCTGGTGTTGAGGGAGAACGTTCCTAGTTGGATGTTGACTTCAATCTCTCCCACCTCTCGACCGCGGGTGTACTCCCTCTGCTCCTCGATCTCCTGCTGGTCCGACGGACTCCTCTGGTTCGAGCAGGGCACGAACCTTCCAATACAGTTGCGCCCGTCCATGCTCCTCCAGAACCGATTCTTGGCGTAGCTCTTGTCGATGCTGGCTGACGACGTCAGGGAAACGATCCTTACGATCGCCTCCATCACTTCGTTGCGTCTTGCCGGGTCAGCGTCAAGCCACGACATGATCATCCCCCTCTGCTTCTGGAATATCTCAAACAGCTCCGATTGCAGGCCGTTCCCAAACATGTCTGCCTGCTCTACCTCGGTCTTCACCCGTTTCTGCGGCCCGAGACTGAACTCCTTGGTCTGAGACCTGAACCTTGTAGCAAGGAACAACTGACTTGACAGGAAGTTGATGACTACGTCATCGGTCAGCTCGTCCGGGGAGAGGTTCTGCCAAATAAAGACGCAGTGCGCGTACAGGTAAGCCACTTTGCCCATCTCATTCTTCTTGATCGCAAAGGAGATCCAGCGATCAAGGATCGATCGAGCCTGCTGATTCACAATCTCTCTGATCTTCTTCCTTTCCACTTCGATCTTCTGCAGGGTCTCCTTGTCCGCTCCGAGGCCGTCGACACTGCACTTCCACCCGGGACCGATGCACGAGTCTCTCTTCTCCTCGTTATAACGGACAAGGAAAATCATGAAGCCCTCGATGCGAACGAGGAGGCGCAGGACGTAGAGGATGATGGCGGCTGACTGGTTGGTCCACCGGCCTGTGTCGAGCTCAAGGGCGAACTTCAAGACATTCTGCAAGGCACTGAGAATGCCCTGGGGGGCCTTGATGAGCTCGTTGAACAGCAGCCCGCAGTTGGTAGCCAAGTGGGAGCGGTCAGGGGCCGGGACGACATCGGGGACCACATGAACCTCTCTTGGCTGCCACAAACTTGGCTCGAACATGACCGAGTCGAGAACCTCCTGCATCTGAGCATTGGCGAGGACCCTGATGTTCTCGGGGGAGGCAAAGAAGTTGATCACGAGGGGGATGCGGATATAAGGGACGGTGAGGAAAGAGAGGAGGATCTCTGCGTTGGTTGGACTCAACTTTCCACCAAACGTCGGCAAGTCACGAACATGCAGGACATCTTCTTCCGACTCGATGCGAGTACCACACAGGGTGGTTGGATCGGCTCCCCCTCGGATGCTGCTCCTGGGTCGACTGCTGCGAAACAGCTGGATCAAGAAGTTTTCTTTCTTGGTCCCCTGCATCCCCTCCGGCAACGAAAGCTTCATGTCCATACCGAAGATCTTTGCGCTGAACCTGTCGTCGACGACCCTCCATGAGATCTTCGCGTCTGCTGCCGTCCACTGCTTCACGTCAGGGAGACCCGACGGGGCGTTGAGAGTCATGAACTTGAACAGCGCGACGATGTCGCGGTAGAATGCTAATTCAGGATAGAAGTCCACAATGTCACACCTCTGGCCAGTGACGTAAAGGTACAAATCATCATTTACAAAGCCCATCTCCCAGCACATCTGCTTCATGAGCTGAGCACTCCCGCAGGGATGTTGATTTTGACTCGCATCGGTGTCATAATACTCCATTGGGAACAGGACATGATCGTCCGGCACCTGCGATCTTACACCGGTAAGATACTCGAGGATGCTTGAACGACACGTGCAGAACTCTGGAGCGAACAACAACATGTCCTCTGTCACGACGACGTAGGCGCTGGCATCGATCCCAAAAGGGAATTGGTCGAAGGCAGCAGTAAGTGGAGCTTTGGCGTCGAAATGCAGGCTCAGCATGGAGGGAAAGTCAACAGCCCTCTTCCTCAGCACGGCGTCGGAGATGGCCATCATGCTTCCGAAAGTCAGGAGTCGAGCAGCTTCCAACGTCCTTGTGTGCGGCAGAGACATGATCGAAGCTGCGTAGAACCTGCTGATGTTGTGCACGAGGCGGAGGACATCAACTTGCGTCTCATATCTCATCGGCTTCTGCCAGATGCACTTGGAGCCATCGGGATGCTGAGAAGTTAGAGGGATGGGGAGGACGCGCAAGAAGACATGGTGGACAGCAACAGCGAGGTGGAGGTTCATACTCCGAATCTGCTTCCCCTGATTTGAGAGGAGAAGGCAAATGTGCTCCAACTCTCTCAGTGCCTTAATAACATCCTGCAGTTCGACAACTTCATCCGGGATTCGTGTAAACTGGATAGGACGAAAGATTTGCTGCTCCGAGTCCAAGGGCCCTGCCAGCGCCTCAATGTCTTCGTCTCGGATGAACCCATCGAAGAAGTTGAAAGGTCGGTACTCTGCTTGGACTCCATTCTCTCCTGTGAGGTCAAGAACAGCTGGGAATTCCGAGTTAGAGGAGTCTAGCTCTTCAAGTCTGTTCTCGATTGAGTTGCAAACGCCCAGAATGGCCACGACATGTTCTCGCTGCAGGATGTTCTTCGGCAACGAAGTAACCTTCTGACAAAAGGAAGCCAGCTCCTTGCAAGCATAGCGACACACCCTGGCATGCGACGAGTCCAGACTCTTCGCACTCTCCAGCTCTTGTCCAAGGTGCCTGCAAGAGTGCCACCTGACGAAGAGCTCCCAAGTCATCTGCTGCTCGTAGCTCAAGCCTTGACGAGCCAGCACAAACTTACAAGCTTCAAGTATACAATGAATGAACGACGGGTCCCCACCCTGAGGTGGGACTGTCCAACCCGTGTTAAGAATATCGTCCTTGTCATTCAGAGCCTGGGTCGCCAACAGCGGCCGCAAGTTGAGATGAGGTAGGAAAGTTTCGTAGAGGAGCTTCGCCTTGTTCTCTTCGTTGGGCCACACCAACATCCGGCTCAGCATAAACCAGAAAGACGAATCTGTCAACTTGTTCTCTGGAATTTCTTGGAACACCATGGTCATCTTATACTGCATGTTTGCTGATTCGGTTACGTTTGCACGGATAGGATGATAGCTGAGCCCGTCTGGTCCAGTATTACAGATAGCTACGTTGAGAACGTCAGACGAGATCCGCTCGATGACGATCAGAACTGCATAATCTTCTTTGCCATCAGCCCATCCGGCAGGAATAAAAGTGAAGGCTTTAGAAGGCAGAGCCTTGATTCTGGTCACAATCCCGTTTATGTATTCGAGCGCAGACTGCTCATTCTTGGATCCTGTTGGCACATTGCTGCTGAGATCAGCAAAGTCCTTAACAATCGACATCAAGGAATCAATCTTCGACGTCACCCCCAGTTGATCGAGTGAGTCTCGCCACTCAGTCGTCACGTCAGGGAGCGAAGTCATCAAAAGACTCGCAGCATCCTTCGCGAATGTTTTCTGTATCCCATGCTTCTTGTGAGGAAAACAGCCATCAAGAAACAAGTCCAGAAAAGCCGTATTTTCCCAGACTGGCATGTTGGTGCTAGATTTGAAGAATGAGTTGGTGATCGCGGACAATTTGCCTGCCTTTGATTCCTTATCTGACGTTGTCCCTGTCGGTTGAGATGACTTAGATTGTGCGAAATCGGGAATGGAGTTGGCAATCTTTGCACCAGCTGCCTGCTTGGCTTGCTCGATGATATGTGCGGCAAGCGCATTGGTCACGGTGGTTGGCTCTTCGGGTCGTTCCCACTGAGACTTCCCAGTCTCAGCATTGAAGTAGAAGGTAAGTTTGGTCTCGGGGTCTTGGTGCGAGGACCATCCCTTTGGCAGAGGCTGTTTGTCCGACATGCCGCGTTCAGCAGAGCTCTTTCCCCTTGATGTACTCCAGAGGTGCCCTCCCTCACCCTGAATGCACGGTGAAGAACATTCAACAATAGACACAAGAAACCACACCTTCAGAGGTTTTCAGACAGCAGAGACATGCAGGAACACTAAAACACAACAATGTCAGCCTGGTTGATAGCGCTCAAGTGGAAACAGAGAAAATCCAAGTTTAGCTTCAAGATACAATCTGGGAGGCGCTGGATAATCGCGAGAGATGTGCCAGGGAGAGCAGGGCGATGAGAGATCATGGTATGTAATCAAGAGTAGACATATGAGCAGGGGTAACACGCATGCAGGTGAACAGTATCGTCAAGGCATCCGTTCGACCCAGAAACTCTGGTGACATCAGCACACGGAAAGGTACTTCGAACCCACATCATGCAGGTCACAAGAAGACAGGAATGAGCGAGGAACAGCATATACAATGTTATGCAAAATAGAGAGTATTGAGCTGATCCAACCAGCTCGCATGAGGTATGAAGAATATCGAACACAGAAACCCACGCTTTTCTCGGGGATTACGGCGAGGGCAGGAGAAAGGAGGAAGAGAGCAGATCAGATTCTTGATCGGAAGGGAGAGGACAGGGAGGAGGGTCAGGAGAGAGCAGGAGAGAACATGGAGGGTCGACATGCAGCTCCGTTGCACACGTTTGCATGCTGCTCTTGCCTTTTCTAGCCCTGGGGGCGCATGGCGCGTCAGACTCCGTTACAGCTCTCAAAAAAATGTAACGTCTTGCAACCAGGCTCCGACTTTTCAAGTAGTGACTACTGCTGCTGAAGGACACTCAGCAGTGAACCGTTCGGAGTTCGTGACTCAGTGAGAGTCGGAGGCCCGAGCCCGGCCACTGTGAGGCCCGGCCGCGCCCGGGTAAGGGGCATCGTAATGCACTGTATGCACTGCACGCCCCGCCAAAGGCGCTGGATGGCGAGTCCGACGGTCTCTCGGTTCGAGTCGTCGCGGCTCAAGGCCTCGGGCCTGTACGGTCCTTTGCTGCCATCACCGGGGGCCGGTAGTATGCGCCGTCTCATTCCGAACTGAGTTCCTCGGCGGCCGGGGCACAGCGATACCGCTGGCATGGCTCGTGGGGGGAATGACGGTCCTGCACAGTTGACTACGGTTAAGTGAAGGTATCAGCGCCGTTTCAAAGTTTGGCCTGTGCGTCGGAGAGTGTCAGGGTCAAGCCTCCTCGACTAAACTTGACTTTGAGTAAAGGTAAGCCTTGAGGCTGGCTGAGTGGCAGTAATGTTTACTCGGATCACCCCGATCCCGGGCCACTGATTTCCCCCCTGCAGTGAGTCGGAGTCCCGGACGGCGGTCGCCGGGCCAACTTCCCGCCCCCGCGGCGAGCCCGTCACCCGAGCCGCCTTGAGGGTTTGAGTCACTTGAAACGGAGGAGCCTGCCGCGTGCGTGACTGCGCCGGGCATCGGATCGTTGAAGTTGAGTGACACCGCCGAGCGTACCTTGGACCCGGAGGCCGCCGGCGGCGGGCCGGTCTGACCGTGACAAAAACCCGAAAGTTTTCCTTTGGTACAAATCATCGTACAGGTTTTCCTACTCAAAACTGTACTGCCAGCAATCAATAGTAGTTTGTTATAGAAATAATAATATTATTTAATTCAATCATGGTACTGATCAAATGCCCAAAACAAGATTTGTATTGAATTATTTGGATAATGTCATTATTAAATTTCTACCAAGCTTCTCCTTAAGCTGTAAATCTATTTTATAGTCGTGCCGGCCGCCGTTCGTGCGGTGGGATGGGAGAGGAAGGAGGATGGCAAGGAGCTGCTGAAGGGGCCAGGACCTGAGCACGAAGATCACCGGAAGCACGATGATCAGTAGGCGGGGAAGACCGGCAGGATTTTGAGGTTATGGGGCTGGGAAATTAGCAGAGCAAGAGGAGCGGATGTGACTTGTGGAGGCGATACGGAACGATGAAGTCAGGTAGATTTCGCTAAGGAAAGCTTGGATTGAAGCTCTGAACAAGTGAAGAGAGCAACTTTAGAAGATTTGATGCCCTGTTGAGTGCATCTTAATACTCAGACTGTAAGATTTGGTGACTCAGATGGAGTCACGTTTGAGGAGTAGTGTGTGACGCGCAAAGACTGTCCGAGAGACTCAGGGGAAGATTTCAGTGCAACAGATTATGATTGTCTCATCTCACCTTTCACATCATTTGCTGATTCTTTCTCTTCTTCTCTTTTCATTGTTGCATTTTGCTGTGCACTTACGAGACATTTAGGCAGGTTCATTCCAATCATGCACGGAAGTTCTGCTCTCCGAGCGTTGGCCATCTTTCTCGCACTCTCCGATGCCCTGTGCTTCACTCCTTCACTCTTCTTGAAGCACGGTCAACGTCACCTGCAGCTGGCAAGAGTGTCCGCGAAGATTCAGAACAGGCGGCATGCTCAATTGAGAATGGAGGCCGAAGGCCCGGGTCTCGAAGGAAAGTCGGTAAGTCCAGAGCTCTAGCAGCCGTCTCTTGCTCATTCTCGCGGCAGGTCGTCATCGTTGCAAGAGACGTCGCCGTTGCACGCGGTCCTCCTCAACGTCAACAGGAGCAGCAGTGAGTACAGAATAGAACGTTGTCAGGTCTTCTCAAAGGGTTGAACAGGTACTACGAGGAGCAGCCAACGCCCATGGGAGAGATGCAGATGTCCAAGTCTGGTGTCAACACGGTAACCTGCTTGCTTGACACGCAATGTGGCGACTGAGGCTTGCGGGCAGATGGTTCTTGTCTCCGGCGCTGTGGCTGCCGCTGCCGGCGGATACTTCGGCGTGAAGGCTTACAAGGCCCGTCAGCAGAGGCTCGTGGAGGAGTTTGGCTACTCCATGATGATGTACTGGGGAGATGCCAAGACCTCGCAGGAGACTGTCAAGGAGTACTTTGGCAAGGTTGGCCCGGTGATCAACATGTTCCACAAAGCCGACATGTTCCGTGAGTACAGCAAGCGCCTGGCTCAGGACAAGGCCCTCAGCATCACCTCCCTCAATGACTTCACTGCTGTCACCAAGATGATGGGCGTCTCCTCTGGTATGGCTTCAAAGCAGATCGCCAAGGCAGCGGAGGAGCTCGTTCCCTACCCCAACCCTACGGAGACCTGGGAGCGCAATGCCAACAAACCCTCTGTGCTCGGAAAGCTCCTGTGGCTCACGGAGCGCTGCTTTCCCGACCCCACGACGATCCAGAAGCTGCGCTCAAGGTTCCCCAAGTCTTACAACGATGACGTCATCAACGTTCTTCAGAACACTCTGACCGAGCAGGCGTATAAGGACATCCTGAACGCCAATGGCGGGCCTGAGAATGGACTGCAGCCTGGATACGACGTGCTCGGTCTCTCGAAGGGAGACGCAGAGGCCCTCATTGAGAAGATCTTGGAAGAGAAGAGGCTGGCGGAGGAGGAAGCCGCTCGTATCGCCGCTGAGAAGGCTGAGGAGGAGCGCGTCTTGAAGATCAGGGAGGCTGCATGGAAGGGACAGCAGGAGAAGCTGAACTTGAAGGATGGCAAGGTAAAGACGCACGGAGAGGAGCCCAAGAAGGACGAGCCGGTGCAGAGGGCGGAAGGGACCCACGAGTACGAGTGCACTGTGTGCGGCTACACCCTCTTCGTGGCCAAGGGACGCGAGTTCAAGTTCTTCGGCGATAACTTCAAGTGCCCCCAGTGCGGAGCAGGGAAGCAGTACTTCAAGGACAACGCTGCGGAGTGAGGGTCATGAGGAGGCGGAGCGGAAGGGGAGACGACCCTGCCGATGGTGCCGGAGGAGCTTCGGTGGCTGCGGGGGACCTGACGGTCGGGTCGAGAGGGTGCGAGAGACTTTTTGTTAGCAGCTATTTATTTTGAATGAAATTAATCGATCTCGGTGAACCCTCAGGAGCCGGAGCAGCCGCTACCCTCCTCCCTGCCCATCATGTCCTGTAGTTGATCGGGCAGATCTTGCCCTCAACCACGATCTTGTGTATGTCCTCCTTGGTGAGGAAACCGTCCTTGTCCTGCAACGTCCTTGAGAGGGGAGAACAGCGGGGAAACGAATCCAAGACCTGGTCGAAGAGCACCAGCATGTCTTCCACCTCCGTCCCGCTGATCTTCATCTTCCCCTTCTCTTGCGCCTCAGCCACGGCCTGCAGGAGGATCACAGACGAAGTCTCATCCCAACACCATCACCGTCACGATGCTCGTGAGATCGATTCGCCCCTGCCACAAGTCAACGCTCGGAAGCTCTTCCCTCCCACTCCCCAGTGATAAACCATACGTTCTTCTCCCGATCGAGCATCGCGAAGAGCTTGTTTGCATAATCCTTCTCCCTCTCGTCATCGCTGAACAGCTGCGACCAACTTTCAACCCCCTCCCGACCTTCTCCACCTCCCACCTTGCCGCCCTCCGCTGCATGCCTCTGGCTCGACCCTTCCCCGCCAGACGGACGTGCATCGTTCTTCTTCGCTTGGCTCTTGGACGTGGGTTGCAAGAAGTTGATGTCATCGATGACCACCGTGTCTGCGTTAGAGTCGAGGTTGGGATCCTTCTTCCTTGGCCGTCCTACTTTCCCTCCCTTGCCCTTCTTCTTCTTCTTCTTCGCCTCATCAAACTGCTCAGAACAGCATCACTCCTTCCTCCCCGTCCGCCCAGGAGCAGAAGTCGTTACATCTTCGTCAGATGCTGCATCGTTCGTCGACTGAACTTCCCACTGGCGGCAACCACGAGTCAGAGCTGTTGAGGCTCCGATGCAACCAACAGCACTCACGTCCTCGTCCTCCGATCGATCCTGGTCTCTAGACCCTAGGAATTGCCAAGGCAACAGAAACATCCATAATTAGACCAACTTGGCAATTCACAAAGTGAACCAACTTTTCTTGCTGTTGGATGGCGATGTGCCTGAACGATGGAAGCAGAGGCTGTCAGGGAAAGCGCATTCAAATGAACAACTCTCACCCTTCTTGGCAATGCTTTTTCTCTCAATAGTCTTGGTCGCCTTTGAAATAGGATAAATCATCATCCCCCCGTCTCAGCTCGAAAGCTCAGGCACCTTCTTGGGACCTTCCTCGTGATTGGCGTCTCCTCGCAACGTCGTCACATAGGAGGGTGCTCCCCCCTGCCACCCATCATCACGTCCCCTGCACTCCATGATGCTGCAATCGAACTTGACGAGAATCTACTCCCTCGCCCTCCGACCTCGCCGCCTGCCGTGAGAGTTTGACTTGCGAAAATCGCATCCCACATCCGCGCAGTTTACCTGATCATCGCCAGCTTCCTTGGACCGGGCTGACGAGAATGTAAGTCACCGACCCACAAACAGTCCCTTCCGATCAACCTGCTGCTGTCAAGCTGTCTGAACCCAACTGCCAGCACTTCAGCTCAGGTCGCGAAAGAGCAAACAGCGTACAGTGAACATGTCTGACGAAGCATCACCCATCCTGGTTGTGCGGAATGTTTCTGAGGAGACCATCCCCTCGAAAGGCTGTGAATCCTGGACTGATAGACACGTTATCTTTCCTCTGGACCAGCTTGTGGTCCCATCGCCCTCACCATCATCGTTGTCCCCGTCGCTGTCCATCGCAGCACCGCCTGCTCCTTGTTTACCATCGAGTCCATTCATTACGTCACTCGTCATCAAACTATCTTTCACTCGTCATCAAACTATCTTTCACCTCTTTCTGGGACTGCAACCTGACTGCTGACATACCTTAATCCCCCATCTCATCACAACTTATCGTTTCTTGTCTCCTCTCGTCTCGCCGCTTCTGCTCTCCTCTGCTCTCCTCTGCTCTCCTCTGCTCTGCTCTCCTCTCCTCTCCTCTCCTCTGCTCGTATATCTGCCATGATCTCCTCTCCTCTCATCATGTATCATCTCATCTCCTCTGCTCTGTCATGTCCTGCTCTGATCTCCGTCCGGTCCCCTTCCCTCCCATTATTCTTCTCATCCTGCGGTAGTCTTTCCCGGCCCGCCTCAATGAAGCCAAATCCCGGCGGCCAGCAGCGGCAGGGGCCCGGGTCAGCGCGGCGGCGAAGCCCGGCCCGCGGGCCGGGGCCGCTCAGGCCACTCAGCCTGGCAGCCTCGGACTCGCGGGGCCGGGCTCCCGACCGAGTCAGTCCGGGCTCCGAGCCTGGGCTCGGACGACGGTCCCAGTGGCTCCGTCTCCGACTGGCCCCGGGCCGCAGTGCCAGACTCAGAGCCGCCGCAAGGCCCGGGGACTCCGAGACCAATAGAGTATCCGAGTGACTGACTCCGGGCCAATCTTTTTTTATCTTTTTTTATCAGGCTTTTTTTTTTGGGACAAAAAAAAAAGGTCAAAAACTGGCTGGGCGAACATCAAGTCTCATGAGGCAGGGGGTTGCAGGATGACGACAGAGTTCAGCAGGTCGGCGATGCAGCCGCTGAACCGGGGGAAGACGAGCCCTCACAAGGAGGTAGCAGAGGAGCTCTCAGGGCAGCCCTGGCTCACCTGCCTTGCAGGTGCACTGCCTTGTGTCGGCAGCCCGGTGGGTCGACAAATACGTCTCCAAAGTGACCGGGGGCAACAACAGGTTGAGGAACCGACTGGCAGAGAATCTGAGCGGTGTAGCACATCCCCTCGAGCGACCTCAGGCGGTCCCCTGACTTGCCGCATGCAGGGACGTGGGGAGTCTGGCTGGACATCGCGAATGCGATTGCTAGCTTCACTTGTGTGGTTCTTTATATCCTCCAGACATACCTGGATACCTCAACGAGTGAAAGCGCGATAAACATGGTGAATCAGATAGATTCGTACCAGACTATGATCAACTTCGTGTTCCTCGTCGATTTCTGCATCAACCTGTGAGCTGCGCAGCTGATCAAGATGTCAAGGGGCTAACTCCATGTGAAGGTATGCTGCGGAAGACAGGAAGCGCCATCTTGAACATCCCCTGGTCATGATAGACATCATCACCATTTTCCCAGAATTCATCACCTTCTTGGTTGCCCTGGTTTGTCACACATATACTTGATGGGGCCGTTGAGAGTTCTTCTGCCAGCAACCGCAATTCACAAGGAAGTATTTGCGTGATCAGTACGGGGCTTACGTTCAGGTTGTTTCATGTGGACCTTGCACAATCTCCTTCGGTAACTGTACAACCAGCCAAGTTTCTTGCGTATAGCTCGACTTCTGAGATTGATGCGCATTCTATCACTGTTCAGGTCCATTCTGCCGCGCTTTCCATTCCTTTTGATTTCATTCACGCAGGATGACGAGTGGGAGGTACTCCGTGAACTCGCTACAGGATGTCTCAAAGAGAATCCTGCAAGTTCTTCTCACCTTCTTCTCCATTCTCCTCTGCTTCACAGGTGCTAGTCGCTTCAAAAGCGACAGCCAATGACGCCTGCTCCTGGTAGGCGTGTACCTAGCCTTCGAGGCCCAGAGTGACGTGTGGGTTGAGCCTTTGCGGTTCCATGATTGCCTCTACTTCACCATTGTCACCATTGCCACCGTTGGCTACGGAGACTTCAGCCCAGTCACCCTTGCAGGGAAGATCATCTCTGCTGCCATGATCCTGTTTGCCCTCGTTGTGCTGGGAGATCAGGTGGGGAACGTGCTAAAGCTCGCATGCAGCCGGTGATCCGATGGGTCCGTTTGCAGATCAACGAGTTGCTGAAGCTGATCCACTCGACCTCTCCGTTCTCCCGGGCCGTGTACAAGTGCCGCAAGGCGTTCCAGCATATCGTGGTGTCGGGGGATCTGTCGCAGGAGAGCGTCCGGGAGCTGCTAGTTGAACTTTTCCACGAGGACCATGGCGTGAACAGCGTATTTCACGTTGTCTTCCTGTCGCCAGAAGAGCCGTCCTTTACCCTTCAGAAGCTCCTGGGTAGCCCCGAGTACCTTCAGAACACCTTGTACGTCCAGGGTTCTCCTTTCGATGAGCGGGATCTCAACAGGGCCTGTGTAACAAAGGCTCTTGCCGTCCTCTTCCTCTGCGACAAGGTGACTTGAGACGTCTCTGTCTTCCTCTAAGGTTGACTCTCGTTTGCTGCGCGAAGGATTCCGTGGAGCCGAAGCTTATGGATCAACGAACGGTGGGACAGTTTCGTCTTTTGGGAAGCTCTTGGGGAGGCTGACTGGCAGCCCCGCAGATTTTCCGGGTCGTTGCAGTGAACCAGTACTTGACCAAGATGAAGACAGAAGTGCCTGTACGCCCGCCTCAGTCTCTAGTCCTCCCTTCCAGCAACGTTTTGGCTTCCTCCTCGTCGTCCTTCCTCCTCCTCCTACTTCTTTCTCGACTTCTTTCCTCCTCCTTGTTTGTCCACTTTCTTCTTGCTTCTTCCTTTTCCTATCTCCTCTACCTCCTCCTTCGGCTCCTCTTCCAGCCTTTGACGATTGCATTGCAGATCTTGTTTCAGCTGATCAAGCCGGAGTCTGCTGCTAACTACATCAACTCTTCCTTCCGCGTCCCCCTGAACCAGATCGTCTGCATAGATGAGATCAAGATGCATCTCCTTGCCAAGAACTGCATCTGTCCCGGAGTGGCCACCCTCGTCTGCAAGTAGAGGAGGAGGAGGAGGAGGAGGAGGAGGACGAGGAGGAGGACGAGGAGGAGGTGGAGGTGGAGGTGGAGGTGGAGCGGAGGGAGCGAGAGGAGAGGGAACGGGTGGGGGAGGAGGTCAGCGGATAAGGAAGAGGGAAGGAGTCTCGGAACCTGACACAGCTGGCAGCCTGATCCGGACCTCTGACCAGAGGCGATCTCGCACCATGGACTCGTGGGAACAGGAGTATGTTGTCGGGACCAACAAGGAAGTCTACAGGACCAAGTTGTCACCCAAGTTCGCCGGCATGACTTTCGGGCAGATTGCAAACCGGTAGACATGTTTGATGGGACTCCTCCTCCTGCTCCTCCTCCTCTTCTGCTTCCTCTTGAGTTTCGAGTTTTTCGTTTACTGCTACCGTTTCTCCTTCCCACTCTCTTGCTCTTCTACCTGCTTATCCCCTCCTATCACCATGCTCCTGCAAACCCCCCAGTCTTCCTCTTTCTTCTTCTCAACATCATCATCATCCTCCTCCTCGTCCTTACCCCAATCCTCCAGGATATTCCAGGAATGCGAGTGCATCGCGTTTGCCATCGAGATCATCGACGTCTTCGGCGATCGCCGGGTGGTTCTCAACCCTTCGAGGTACGAGATCCCTTCGGGCGTTCACTTCGTCTACGCCATCGCCAACGACCTCTCGGAGGCCGACACCATAACCTCCTTCGGTCTCGAACTCGTGCCCTCCGGCAGCCAGCCGGACCTCGCACTCTATGAGTCCCCGAAGCCCGCCGACAGCATCGGCAATCAGATCTCCTCCCTTCACCGCGAAAAGGCTGACGTCAAGTCGGGAGGAAGCGACGGGTCCGTCGGGAGGTGCGAGCCCATGGCGGCTCGCTTGTCGCGCATGAAGCAGGTAGAGGATGAGGGTGAGGATGAGGGTGAGGGTGAGGGTGAGGAGGAAGGGGGAAGGGGGAGAGCAAGGAGGAGGAGGAGGAGAATGGATGAGAATGGAAGAGGAGGAGTAGGAAGGAGGAGGGAGGAGGAGCTGCGAGCCTGACGTCCGTCCTCTTTGCAGGCGTTCAACATCACGGAGCAGCCGAGGACGAAGGAGGAGATGACTGTGGAGTCGGTGGAGAAGCTAGTCAAGGGTCACATCCTAGTGTGCGGGGAGATCGGCAGCGTCTACAACTTCATCGAGACGCTGAGGTACAAGCACGTGACGCTGGCACCCATTGTCATCCTCTCCAACAAGCCTCTGTCGGAGGAGGTGAGCAGGGGAGGGAGAGGAAGCGGAAGGGGAAGAGTGAAGGAGACAGGGAGAGCAAGATGTTTGAGGACGAGATGAGGGGAGCCGAGGAGAGGACGACAGGGGGAGAGAGGAGGAGAAGGAGACGGGAGGAGGAGGAGGAGGAGGGAGGAGTTACCTATGCCTTCTCCTGATTTTCAATCGTGCAGATCTACAAGAAGATCTGTTTCTTCCCCGAGGTCTTCTATGTGTACGGTACCCCGATGCAGCAGAAGGACCTGCTGAGGGCTGGAATCCTTTCCCTCAACACGGCTGTGATCTTCTCCTCCTCTACCGATAATTCCTCCCAGCAGAACGACGACTCGTCCCGCAGGCTCTTTGACGCCGACGCTATCCTCATCTTCCAGAGCATCCGAAAGTGCCGACCGACCGCCAAGATCACCTGCCAGCTCAAGTTCAAGGAGAACATGATGTTCTTCACAGAGTGCATGGAGAACAGCGACGTTACCCTTAGCCCCTCCTTCGCCGCCGGCCATGTCTTCATCTCCACCATGCTCGACCGGCTGCTCGTGCAGTCCTTCTACAACCCCAGCATCATCACCATCCTCTACGAGCTCATCGCCTCCTCCGGCTCCCTGAACGCCGAGTACGCCTCCAGCATCGTACATCCCTCCACCTTGTCCAGCGCCCCCGTCCCCCCCAACTTCGTCGGCAAGAAGTTCAAGGACTTGTTTCAGTACCTCAACTCCAAGAGGGGCATGCTGGTCATCGGGTTGTACAGGTATGCTCCACTCCTACTGCTGCTGCTTCTCTCTCTCTCTCTCTCTCTCTCTCTCTCTTGCTGCTGCTGCTGCTGCTGCTGCTTCCTTGCTCCTCTCCTTGTGCCTTCCATATCCCACTCCTGCCTGCTCTTCAATCTCTTTCTCTTCTTGTGCTGCACTCCATCTTTACGTCTGAACATTCTATCTTTTGATTTATCCTCTTCCTCTTTCTCCCTTTCTCTCCTCCCTTTCTCCTCCCTAACTCTTGTACCTCCTCTCCCTTCCTCCTAATCCTCTGCACCCTTCCTCCTCCTCTCACTTCCTCTCCCTTCCTCTCCCGTCATGTCTTCACTTCCTCCTCCTACAGGGTCAACCCGGTGGACAACGAGGCCCCTCTCCCCTACGTCGTCACTGCTCCTCCTCACAACACCATCCTCAACAAAGACGACTCCATGTTTCTCCTCTCCTCCCCCTTCGAGCCCTCTACTGCTCCCCGCGGCATGCTGAGCTTGAAAGTGATCGAGGCGGAGCTGAAGTGGAGCGAGGAGGCAAAGAAAAGCAAGGGACAGGTCGTCTGCTCCATCGTCTGTCAGGGAGAGCAGTTCTTCTCCGACCCTTGCGTCAACCAGGCCAACCCTCACTTCAACTTCAAGTCCTCCTTCCAAATCATCGAGACTGAAGGATCGTAAGGCTTCCTCCTCACCCCCTTCTCTCTCCTTGCGCTCTATCCTTCCCCTTCGTTTCTCTCTTTCTCTCTACTTCTTCCTGTTCCTCGTTCCCCTCTTCCTCCTCACGCTCTCTCTGCTTCTTCTCTCCCGCTCCCCCTATCTCTTCCTTCTCCTCTCCCCCCTCCTTCTCCTTCTCCCTCTCTCTCCTTCTCTCACCCTCTCCCCATTTCCCTCCTCGTCCTCGTTCCACTTTTCTCGCCCCTCCTTTGCTAGCTTCTCCAACTCCCTTGCTCTTCCCCTTCCCTTCTGTCCTCCCTGCTCTCCTCCCTCCTCCCTGAAACTCTCCTCGCAGGGTCGAGCTCAGCGTCTTGGTCAAGTACAAGGAGGACAGATTCTCCGAATCTTCCGACAAGGCTCGTTCCACTCCTCGTCGTCAGGTCATCTGCAAGACTGAGATTCCCGTCCACTACCTCCTCACCTGCGCCAGCGAGCATGAGGCCAAGACTGGGGTGATCGGAGTCGACAGGTACCTGACCCTGCTGCTGCTGCTGCCGCCACCGCCGCTCCTCCTGCTCCTCCTCCCTCCTCCCTCCACCCCCCTCCCCC